TATGAAATGTGATATAACTTTATTTGCAAAAAATACACGTTTTTCGGTTGAATGATCGTGATCACGGCAATATAATGAATTCAAACATTCATTGGTTTTTTGAGGTGTTATTTTAAATCATCTTTATGTAAAAAACGAGACCAAACGAACGTAACAAGGAAAGATCATAAAAATATATCTCAGTCTAAATTCCAATACCTGAAATGATATCAAGTGTGATAATCCATTAATAATATAGTCCATGGTTCTGACCATTGTTAAAGAGAATTGTCAATTACCTCACACGGAAATCGTCGCTTGTTGTAGATAAAATAGTGTTTGTTAGCGATGACCATAATGATGCGATGCGATGGTGATGACAACACAATTCTAACACGATAGCCTAGAAATGCCTACCTGCAACTAATAAATCCAGGTTCGGTCGGTGAGGCTGCGATGCATCGAATAATGTTAGCGTGTCCTATTTAATACAGTTCCCTGATTAATTTCAAACTACTGATGCATGTGGCAATTATCCGTCAATAAATGCGCATACCGCTCCAGCGTTTAAGACATTTCCCGGTACGCGAATCCCAGCATACGATAGTGTTATTCACTTCATCGCTACTAAGGACATAATCTTCGTTGTAGGTAAAGGTTGTTTGCAACGTATTATTCTAAAATTTAAGGTGTCTTAGATACACAAGATTCCAAAAACTATGACAATCGCGCGTTTACCTTATGTGTGGCGCCCTCATATTGCAACACCATTCTTCCACTAATGGCTTCCCATAATCTGGCCACGGAATCTCGTCCGCCAGAGAGAATGTATTTCCCGGTTTTTGAAAACTTTACGCTTGACACTATGGTTCCGTCATGAGCATTTTCGATGGTTGTGACGCATCGCCCGTTCACTGCATCCCAGACCTTTATGCTGCCATCCGTGGACGAGGTGACAAATTGTGACCCATTGGTAGAGTATCGAACCTATCAATATTTGAATACGTGAATAAATAAAACGCGTCGGAAAGATTCCATTAAAACATCCTGCCTGACCTTTGTTATTCCACCTCGATGGAGATCGGCCGGTACTGTGGACGCTGTGAAACATTGAAAATTCTTCACATCGTAGGCCCTTATTGACTCATGATCGGTTCCTATAAATGTCGAGAAAGAAAAAAAAAAAAAAAAAATCAAATTTCTCTCTTCAACAATACATATCAAGCTGTCCAACTAAGAGCACGACATTAACATTTCCACTAAAGAAAAACCTGCTAATATATAATCTCCCGACGGATGAAATGCTATGGACCTTACGATATGCGTGTCCTTATATTGACGTCGAATGTGACGATCATCAGTTACTTTGCGAGCTTCGCATTCTCAACGTCTCACGCACGCACCTGCAAATATCTAAAAGATCTCTTGACCCCGGGTTTTGACAGATCAAACAACTTGATGCTTTGGTCGTCAGAACACGAGGCGAGAACAAGTCCGTTTGGATGGAACGACAGGTCGTTTACGCCCTTCATTTTGCATCGGACGCAAATTAATAAATAAAGCTCGGATCAAGAAAACAATCCGAAAATATATGATTCCCTCATCACAATTTCTCATCACAATTTCTTACCGCAAGATGATCGTATAGAGTCCGGATGACGGGTCGATCTTCGTCCGAACGACTATTCATTTTACTCGTATCGAGAACTTTCAGCGAAGCATCTGCTGACCCAGTGGCCGCATATTTCCCTAAGGAGAAAAGGTGAACCGTCGTCACTTTTCACCGCAAAATCCACATCCTCTTCTCCTCCCATTCAGTAATATTCCTACCATCACCGCTGAATATCGCGCAGGTTGATGCAGCCCGATGGGTTGTCATATACCACGTGGAATAATTGGGCGCAGGTTTAGGTACTAAAAACGAGTAGAAATGACCACAATAAATAACCATCGAACCGATCGAGGAATGATGACCTCTCAATATCTTACCATTCCTAGTTTCCGGATCGACATGAGTCAAGTACTTGGAGTGATAAACTCCATCGTCCCCTTGACTACTTTCCTCAGAATCAGGATCCTCCTCGAGAATCTCGCATGGTCTCATCTCATCTCCCTCATCGTCTAAATTTTCCCAAATTACGTGAGTGATAAAAGTGATCCGTGTGTGTGTAAAATCAAGAGGCGACGGTGTTTCGACCTTGTTCCTTTGCGATGTAGAGCAATTCCGCTAATTTCGAACTAGGCGTCAA